TGTATAAACAGCAGAAGCGGCAAGTGAACCAAAGAATTTTATATACAGTCGTCCCTCGTACAACGCGGTACTTGAACAACGCGGTTTCGATACAACGCGGTTCTAGAATTGCGACTTTTATAACACGGTTTCGATATAACACGGTTTTGAAAAATCGAACGTTTGGTTGTGCGCATGTCAGATTCTTTAAAAATTCGAATGTTTGATCAGATTCGAATGCTTGGTCATCATTTTTCATTCGAAAAATTAAAAAAAAAATAAAAAATCTAAAACGAGCTAATAAATAAATTTTTTTTTTTTAATTTTTATTCTTGTGTTATATTATTGAATATAATTATGTCTAACCAAAATAAACCAATTTTGAAAAGGAAATTCATTTCGTTGAATGAAAAAATTGATATAGTAAATTTAAAGAATGAGGGAGCAAAAATATCGTCAATCGCTCAAACCTACAAGTTAAACGAATCAACCGTTCGGACCATCCTAAAAAATGGTGAAAGAATTCAAAAGAGTGTAGCAATTTGTAGTCCGACTGCGGCGAAACGTATTGCCAAACAACGAGATCCAAAGCTCATTACAATGGAGCATGCACTTGCGATTTGGATACAAGATTGTGCCTCAAAAAAGATACCATTGAGTACAAATTTAATAATGGAAAAATCCATTCGGCTTTTTAATCTTTTAAAAAATAAAGAAAATTTTTCCAATGAACTGCCAGAAAAACCATTTGTTGCTAGCAAAGGCTGGTTTAACAATTTCAAGAATCGCTTCTCTTTCAAGAATGTTAACTTTCAAGGTGAACAAGCTTCTGCAGACGTTGAGGGTGCCGAAAAATTTATAACTGAATTGCCACGAATAATAGAAGAGGGTGGTTATTCACAACATCAAATTTTCAACGCTGATGAAACAGCATTATATTGGAAGAAGTTTCCCTCGCGTACATTTATATCAAAAAATCAAAAACAAATAAATGGTAACAATTCTTACAAATAATCTTATAAAAGTATCAAATTTTATATTATAATTCCAGGATTTAAACTATCAAAAGAGAGGATTACATTACACGTTTGTTCAAATTTGTCTGGAGACTTCGTGTTAAAACCAATGCTCATCAACAAATCATTAAACCCGAGAGCGTTTAAGAATATTGATATGGCTAAATTACCGATTTTTTGGACGGCTAACCAAAAAGGTTGGATGACGAAAGTACTTTTTAAAAGGTGGTTTAATGAGTGTTTTATACCAGACGTTGAAAAATATCTGTATGATAAAAATTTAAGTTTCAAAATCTTATTACTTATTGACAACGCAAGCAGTCATTCAAAAGATATTAATCATCCAAACGTAAAAATAGTCTTTTTTCCACCCAATTGCACTTCATTGATACAACCCTTAGATCAGGGTATAATAGCCACCATTAAATCATATTACATTCGAAGAACATTTAAAAAAATTTTTGATAGATTGGAAGAAGATAAAGAATTATCAGTAATTCAAGCATTCAAAGATTTCACGATTTTAGATTGTATTGAAGCAATCGATTTATCATTTAAAGAACTTAAAAAAGAAACTATCAACGCTTGCTGGAGGCCATTGTTGCCACAAATGGTGAATCAAAGTAACATTATACCGCACGAAAGACTTGTCGAACATCAGAAAATAATAGAAATCGCATCAAAAATTGATGGTTTAAAGGAAATTAATATCAATGATATTGAAGAATTACTTGCCGCTGATACTCTGGATGATGAAGAGTTAATTGAACTTCTGGATACAAATTCGAATGACCAATATGAAAATGAAAATGAATCTCAACTTATTGTCAATCATAATTTTAATAAAAATAAACTGGAAAAAGCATTAGAATTAGCAGAAAATCTTAAAGATTTTATAATGGAAAACGATCCATCCATCGTTAGGAGCGATAAGTTTATCCGGGAATTGAATTATTGTATGCAACCATATCAAATTATTTTCGATTCATTAAAATAATTTGATATGGTTGTTAGTATCATATTCAAAGACTGGCATCATTTTAATTATTCATTTTTATTTTTATTATTAAGTTGAATTTTTGAATAAAATGTTTTTTTTCTTTTAATCAAACTAATCGACAAATAACATTTAACAAATCCAAATTTCCAATCCAACATGAAGAATATCTTTTCAAAACAAATTCAAATTGGTAATCTGACTTTTGGCTGGTATATTTATCATGAAAAAATATCATCACGAATATCGTTTTGGAATAGTTTTGTGGATCGATAAATAACGAATAATTGTATTTATTTTAATACAATTATATCAAATTTTTTATTTATCAAAAATTTCACCAAATGTTAAATACAATGACCGATAAATGTCAGATTAAAAATTTAGGTTTGCTGAAGAAAGATATGCTTCATGTTAGATTACCAATGGATTTGTTATGAAAAGATATGCTTCATGTTAGATTACCAATGGTTTTTTATGAAAAGATAT